CCAGGTAAGGTCAGGCAGCTGCAGGTGCCAGAGATGAGGTCCTGGACGTCTTGGAGGGGCTGCGATTCTGAACAGGATTCACGTACTTCTGAGAAGGGCCCGACAGTAAATACTGTAGGCCTGGTGGGCCATCCGGTCTCTGTCACTAGGCCTGGCTATGTAATTTTCAGGGCCTGATGCAAGATGGAAATGAGGGGCCCCTCGTGCACAGATAACTGAGAATTTCGAAACGGTGATAGAGGAGCAGGGTCCGGTGAGACCCCACAGCATGTCCAGCCAGGACGCGGCCCTGCCTCTGCTGCTGTGGCCGGAAAGCCGCCACGGGCCACGTGCAGATGACAGGTGACGCTGTGTCACTACCCAACCTAATGGGACACCTAAATTATAATTTTCTCACGTCACGAGATGCTATTCCGCTTCTGCTTTTCCTTTCATTTTTGTTATAAGTAGGCTCCATGCCCAGTATGGGGTTTGAACTCAGGACCCTAAGATCAAAAGTCATGTGCTCCACCCACTGAACCAGCCAGACACTCCTCTTCTGTTATTTTTCTCAACCCCTTAAAAACGTAAACATCAAAGGGGCCTGGATGGCTCAGTTGGTTAAGCTTCTGACTCTTCGGCTCAGGTCATGATCTCAGGGTCGGGAGATCGAACCCTGCCACGGGCTCCACGCTGGACATGAAGCCTGTTTGGAACTCTCTCTCCCTCTCCCTCTGCCCCTCCCCACCCCCTCGTGCACTCACGCTCTCTCTCTTTAAGAAAAAAAAAAAGAGCAGCCCTCACTGTTACTCAAAGGCAGTACAAATACGGTGTGGGCCGAGTCAAGCTGTAATTTGCTGGCTCCTGGTCTACAGGATAAAATCCCTGCTTCTCTGCCTGACTCTCCAGGGACCTTTGAGGCTGGAGACAGACGTCTCCCCAGTGCCACCTCACAAGCTGCATCCAGTGCTTCTGATGGCTCCTGTTTCCTACCAGATCCCCTGGGACAAATCCGTGCCTGCGCTCTTCCGGGCCCCTCTGTCCAGAAGCCCTACCTCCCACTTGCTCCAGCTGTATTCCGGCTTGGACACTGAGCTCCGTGAGAGGTGGTGCTCTGTGCCTATCCCTTGTCACCCTGGCTGGATTTACATGTCTCTGCGTCCTCCTCTCCCTTGGGTAGTGAGGTGCCCAAGGGCGGGAATGCAGGCTAAGTCATCTTTGTGTCTCCTGACCTCACCAGCCCTCAGAGCTGGTACTTAGAGGGATAACAAGAACAACCCAGAATCTGGGTGGCTGGAGTATATTTAGATTCTGACCCCTAAGAACAAAAACTGCTTCTTACCAAAAACAAAAACAAAATAAGCCCCCCACCAACCAAGAACTTCCTCTCCCAAATTCAGACCAAGAAAATAAAGACCTCTGAGACTAAACAGAACTGGGTTCCAATCCTGACTGTCCTTAATAGATATGTGCCCTTGAAAAAGTCACTCTTAAGATTGAGTCTCAATTTGCCATGGCCCACCAGGCCCTGTGTGACTTGCCCCTTCCGATCCCATGAGTCTCCTCTCCTGTTCGTCTCCACCACTGGCCTCTTCTCAGTCCCTAATTGTGCCAGGCTCCTGCCTGAATCAGGGTCTTTGCACTTACTGTTCTTTCTGTCAGAAACATTCTGCCCTCCCCTTTGCCTGGTGACTTACCCTTCTTGCCATAGCTGCAACCCCTCTGACTTGGGAAGCTTTCCTGGCCACCCCAAAATGAGGTTCTTCTGCTACATGCTTTTCTGGCATTCTGAACCTCTGCAGATCGTAATTATTTTGTAATGATCGTAATTGTGCAATTTCTGATCATTATGAACAAGAATTAAATTTAATAAACACGTCACACCAAAGTTTCTAGGAGTGGGGAGATCATTTAATTTTCCCAGTGCCCTCTTGAAGTCTTATAATCACCCGCACTTCACGGATGTGAAGGCTGGGGATGGGGAGGCTGAATCTCAGAGAGATTAAGAAAACTTACCCAAGGTTGCACACCTTGTCAGTGCTGGAGTTGCCCACTTCAGCCCATTCCTATGGCTGACTGTGACTTCTGTGTGGCACGGCTGCTGTGGTATCCCCAGGGCGGAGCACCTGCAGGGCACACTGGGGCCGAGTAAAAAGTACTGAGGACCTAAAAGAAACAACACCCAGTGGCAATGAACACTCCAAGTGCCCAGATCTTGATTTCTAAAACTACTCTCTAATAAAAGGAACCAGGCGGGGAGAAGTGGCTGATTCTAGGACTGGGGCAGGAAATATATGAGATGAGCCTGGAGCATCTTGTAGTACCAGGAAGTAAGGAAGTGTTCCCAGGAAAACAAAAACACCCCAAGCCAAACACACTGATGGGAGTGTGTTAAGGGATCATGGGAGCCAGCTGGAAAAGTTCCCGATGGCCAAAGCTGGAAGAATTCAAACAACAGAATACAGTCGTATTGGATTATAACCCAGAGTAGGAAATAAATATCCAGCGGCCACACTGTTATAATTAAATGATGGGTAAGTTAATAAGTCAGGGAGAGAAGAGAACGCTCCCATGCAGAAGAATTCCACATAATTCACATAAACATCTCACGTAAGGAAGATTTCTCACTCTTTAGGCGTGTGCTGCACATAACGATTTCCTTCCGAAGTACACACTACAGAAAGGTGGGGGGCAGCAAGTAATTTTCCAGCAGAGAACCCTGACCAATGCTACCTCAGCCTACAGTCAAGGTCAACATCAACGGGTACAGATAACGCAGCTGTAGGTACCCTCACAGGAGGTGACGAGAGTCATGCTTTACCTCTGGGGTTCTTCCTCCCCACCCCCAAACCCATCATCCCAGTCTTATCACAAGAAAAACACCAGACAGATTCCAATAGAGGGGCATTCTACAAAATACCTGATCATTTCTTCTCAAAACCGTCAAGGTCATCAAAAACAAGGAGAATCTGAGAACCCACCACAGCCGTGAGGTGCCTAAAGAAACAGCACAGCCAAGTGAGTGGGTCTTAAAAGTTCTCATCACACCAACAACAAAATATTTATAATTATGGGTGGTGATAGGTGTCAACTGAACTTATTGTGCTAATTAGCTTACAACATATACATACATTAAATCATTATGCCGTACATCAAAAACTGGCATGTGTTACATGTCAATTCTAGCTCAAGAAAGAAAAGAGAGAGAGAGACAGTGAGTGAAAACCAGGACAACTTTTAGTAATGTGGCACCCTGCATGGGATTCTGGAAGGCAAGAAGGACATTAAGTAAAAACAAAGGAAATTTAAATAAACCATGAACTTTGATTCATAATGTATCAAGATTGATTAATTATAACAAATGTATCATGCTAATGAACCGTTACTGATAGGAGAAACTGGGTGTGGGGAAAATTGTAACTCTGTACTTTCTTTCAAGTATTTCTGTAAATCTCAAGCTGCTCCAAAAGACAATGTCTACTAATGAGAACAAAGACAAAGTATAAATACACGAAGGACTTCGTTCTTCCCCACGGCGGCGACGATGCTGGCTCCCTTCTCACAGGCTACTGTGAGCATCCCACAGGAGAACGCACACAGCATGAAGAAAGGCCATCCTCTATGTGACTAAATTTAAATTAAGTAAAAATTAAGGACGTTAAAAATTCAGTTCTTCGTTAAAAATTCAGTTCTTCTATGGCACCAGCCACATGTCAAGTGCCCAGAAGCCACGTGCAGCGAGTGGCTGCTAAATTAGGCACTGATGGTGGAAAACATGCCCATCATTGCAGGAAGTCCTAAAAGACAAACACTGCATTAAACAATGAACGACATAATTACTTGCTCGGTTCCTTCAGCAAATACCATCTTCTCAACCTTCCCCATCTTCCCCATACCTTTCTCCAATTTACTTTTCTTCTTACCCCTTCCCACCTACTTGATGGGAAATCCACTTGGTGTCTCTTCCACGTCCCCATCTAGCACCGCAGGGTCAGCGCCGTAGCCACATGGTTTCTCAGCTGCGGAAATGCAGCCAGTCCAATCTGAGACGCACTGTGTAAGACACACCAGATTTCAGAGGCGTGGACGGGGGGGGGCAGAAAAATGTAAAAAAATCTCATAACTTTTATATTGATTACACATAGAAATAACATTTTGGACACGCTGTTAAATAAAGCACGTTAATAATAGTAACATCACCTGGGTTGTTTTTTTTTAAACTTTTCTTTCCTTTAACACAGCTCCCAGGAAATTTAAATTGTGCACCTAACATTTGTGGCTAACGTTTTTGCCCGTTTGCTGCCCAATACAAGGGACTGGCATATAGTAGACGCTCAATAAAATTTTAATGACTGACTGCCAGGATGCGCCTCTGGGAGCCCGCTAGCTCCAACAGTCAACACTGATGTAAGGCACACCACGTCCCATGCTCCACCTCCTCACCATACCAGATAAGGAAACTGAGGCCCGGCGAGGTGACGTCAGCCACTTCCCAACGGCACGTAGTGCGGAAACGTCGGGGTCGGGATTCGAACCCGGGTCCTGTCCCCACAGCCCTGGCGCGCTGACCATTCCTACCTGGCAGGGAGGCGGCGGCGGCGGCGGGAAAGACAGGCGCGAGGCACACAGCATGCGCTCGGCAAGGGGCGCGGTTCTTTGGCCACCGCCTTCCGTCGGCCTCCATGAGCCCGGCCCCAGCCGGCCTCCTCCGCGGCCATCGCCGGCCACCCGCGTCTCCGCCGGCCGCCGAGCCCTTCGCAGGCGGCGCCTGCCGGAAGTCCCGCCTCCGCCGCGCGCCCCGGAGCGCCGAGACAGGCACGTCAGCCAATGAGAAGCGCGCCATGGCGGACGCCGGCCAATGGGCGCGCGCGCCGGGGGGGCGTGTCCGGGCCGCGGGCCGGAGCGGGTCGTGCGCGCTGAGGAGGAGCCGCCGCCGCCGTCGCCGTCGCCGCTGCCGCCGCCGCCGCTACCGAGGCCGAGCGGAGCCGTTAGCGCCGCGCCGCCGCCGCCCGCCCGCCCCGGAGCAGCCCCGGGCCCGCCCGCCCGCGTCCAGGTGAGGCGGGGGCCTTCGGCGGCACCCGACGGGGTAGGCCGCGGCAGGCCTGC